TGACATCACATGATATTTTGTTGGCACCTACTATGGTGTTTATTATTATTATATGAAAACTGTTAACAGACCATTAAACCCTACTTTATGGCTATTGTGTGGTGTGCGACTTTGTTTAAACTATGTAACTGTGTAACAGACCATTAAACCCTACTTTATGGTTATTGTGTGGTGTGCTATTTTGCTTAAACTATGTGTTTGAAGATGTTTATCTATATTGGGCAGATTTGCAGGATTCAGAGAAGGGATTTTGCTAAACCATTTAGGGACGTTAATCCTCCTAATATCTTTGTATTTTATTAACAAAACTTTGTTTTCACACTAATACACTAACAGTGGTTTGCAGGTTGTTGAAAAAGTTGTGGGATAAGGAAAGTGCTACCAGTGGTTTGAAGAATTGGCTTAACTACAAGACGAGGGCATTGTTGGAAGGGAATGAGTTCGTCTTTCAAGGGATATTGTTTTGAAAGCATTTACTGTGAACAATGTAACTGCGTAAATTCTAAGTGGCATTAAGTAACTAAGTGAAGATGTGTACTCTTAGGATTTCAAAAATGTACTATTTGAATTTGCAAATCTAATATTAAAAAGGTGTGCCGTGTGCAATCTTTTGTTACAATTTGGTAATTTGGCAATTGTTGTCAACAACTTGCATAATTATAAATAATGAAGTGTTCAACTATGTAAATTCTAATAGGCATTAGGTAACTAAGTGTATTAATGTATTATTTAAAAAATGTATTATTTGAATTTGAAAATCTAATACAAGTGTATTAATATTAAAAAGGTGTGCAAATTGGCAAAGAATTTCAAGTGGGGAAAGAAGTTCATACCTTAGAGTCATTTTGCTTCATGGAGGGTTACCTGCAATCCCCTATTTACTAAATAATATTACAAACCTTTAAAATTTTACATAAATGGCAACCCACTAAGGTCCCAGAACTATTCCTATTACAATTTTCTAAAAAGGGTTGTTAAACCTCTTCAACCATAAAATTACACCTGTAAAAACGTATTAAGAACAGTTATTATTATGATGGACAATGAGTAGTTTTGTATTAAAGTACATATAAGTTTTAAAAAAAAATGTTTGTGAGAAAGTAAAATTTGGTGAAATTTTAGTGCTTAATGTTGCAGTATCAAACTTGAAATAAATTTTATGTACTAAAATTGGTGAGCCATTGCTAAGAGTCATTATTACAATTCGATGCATTATGAGTTGTGGTATATTTGACATCCAATGAAGCAATACTAAAATTTCAAATACGAAATCTGAGTTTAACTTCATTTTTTTTGGAAAAAAAATGTGTAAAAAATAATTTCTGCCCAAAATGTTATTGAAGTGTATGTATTTTGAAAATTCTTCAAAAAAAGAAACATGCCTAACAAATAAATATTTGTACAGATGTCAAAAACTTGAATATAACAGAAATTTAACCAGCATGTTAAAGGGATATTTGTTTCATTTAGTATGGAAAGTTATATTTAGTGTGGATAAAAAGATTTAAGAACTACATGGTTCCACTTAGCATTTTGGGCATGTGTATTCCGGCCATAATTCTGTAGCCCAAGTATTTGGGGATTCAAATACTTAGTTTTCTAAAGGCCTTACCCTTGACATAAATAAATTAAATCAAATTCAATCAATACATATCCAAAGGAATGCTGAAAATAATAATTATAAATGTTTTATTTAGTGAAAATGGACTATGTTATTTAAAAAGGAAAAACAATTTGAAATATTTCATATATAGAAAAATCTAATTTTGTAAAAAGCAGATATTCATAACATTTAAATAGTTTGTAAAGGTTAAATAAATTTATGTATACATCAGGTGTAGAGATTTAAAGATAAAATGGATAACTACTCAAATGTATTGATAAAATCGATAGACATTTTTAAAAGTGTTATTTTTAAAAGTGTTTATAAACATTTCTCAAAATTTATAGACATTTTTAAAAGTGTTTTTAAAAATCGATAGATAAAATTTAAAAGTATTAATGTTATTTTTAAAAGTGTTTATAAACAATAGACATTTAGAAATAAATGATTAATTTTTTTGATGTAAGAGTTTATTAAGAGTATTTAGCAAAATCGATATGTGTACTTGAAGGCTCAAGATTTGAAAATAACATTGATAACTACTCAAACCTGTTGATATTTTTATAAATAACTAGTATCGCACCCGTGCGATGCACGGGACAATATTTTGTTGGGTTTTAGTTATGCGATATACATATAAAAATAGCAAAGCATAGACATGTAATATAATAAGATTTGTTTTATCATATTTGATATAATAAGATCAAAAAAATAAATGATATGAGAGATATATTAATAAGTTGTTGAATCAAAGATTTAATAACATTGTAATACAAAAAAGCTAAACGTTTTGAAAAACTTCTGGGTATACAACATTTATTGTTGAGTTACTGGAGGCACCATCGGGGTTGCATATCAATATTTTCAATCCTTCACGTCTAGTAACTCGAGAAACAGCAACGTAGAGTTGGCCATGACAGAATACCGGGTTTTTTAGGAACAACCCAACATGAGATAGCGACTGTCCTTGACTTTTGTTGATTGTCATTGCATATGAAACCATTATAGGGAATTGTCTTCGCTGAAACTTGAAAGGCATTCTAACATCCGATGGAGTCAAATTCAACCTTGGGATCAACACTTTTTGTCCGGCCGTATGCCCAGACAGTGTTTTAGCTTCCAACACATGACATCCGAGTCTTGTGATAACCAATCTTGTCCCATTGCAAAGCCCCATTGAATGATCTATATTGCGTAGTAACATAACTGGAGTGCCAACCTTCAAAGTCAACTCGTGATTTGGAACTCCAGAACATTTGAGGCTATTTAGAAATTCCGGGGTATAGACATCAGCTAAAACATCTGCATTTGTGTCGGACTGGCAAGCACTGTCTGAACTAAAATAGGTTTTTGATTCTCGGGTATTCAACGACATCATGTATTGATTGATGGAATCAACAACGTCTAGAGTTGGAGCCAGTATAGCCCGTTTTTCCAAATATGTCGAGTCATCATCAATATCGGGAAAACCGGGGTATGTACTTCGGACTATGGTTGCTATTGGATCACTTTCATATGTCAGCAATATATCATCTGGTATCTCAATTGTTGCAAACCCATTTGATGAATCACCAATTGCACCATCACCGATTCTTGCAATCCATTCAGCAAACTTTCTAACCCGTTCAACTTCATCCGTGGTGTTAGCACTTTGAAGCCGCATATTTTTCGTCAATCGCAAGACCTTACAACACCTCCATAGATAAGATGCATTGATAGTAGCTGAAATGATATCATTCCGAGTACCTTTGGGAATCACAGGCAATATTTGTCGAAAATCACCTCCAAAAACAATGGTTTTTCCTCCAAAAGGAGTGCTCAAACTCACAGGATTCGTCAACTGCAATATATCACGCATAGTTTTATCAAGTGCTTCAAAACAATGTTTATGCACCATTGGGGCTTCATCCCATATGATAAGTTTGCACTTCACGATAAGTCCTGCCAATTGACTGCCTTGTTTTATATTGCACGTTGAGTCTTCATTTATGTTGATGGGTATAGCGAACCTAGAGTGAGCAGTTCTTCCACCAGGCAATAACAAAGAAGCTATCCCGCTTGATGCTACATTAAGTACAATCTCACCTTTACAACGCAAAGCCGCCGATAAAGTTTTCCACACAAAGGTTTTTCCAGTTCCACCGTAACCATATACAAAGAAAACACCTCCAGTATTGGTGTTGACTGCATCAGTTACAATATTATAAACATTGCGTTGTTCTGCTGTTAAGTTGCATATGAGACTGTCATGCAGTTCTTTCATTTCGCTCTTGTTATATCGCAACTCTTCACATATCAATCTATTCACATTGCTTTGACTTATATCCCCACGCGGAAGTGGCATCGGGTAATAATCCTTTAAACTCCTTCCATAACTTTGCAGCAATCGCTCAATCTCAATAAGTGCCAGATTCTTAATCTCATCATCATCGAGTCTCAAGGCTACACGAATGGGGAAACAATATAATGTACATTACAATGAACAATAGAAACGCAAATATTTCGAGTGAATGTATTAGTATATGTAATACCTTCATATTGCAATAGACGGCGTTGTCTGTAAAGAATGTCATCTGAAAAGAATGTCCAGCATTTCTCCCAAATGTGCTCTGGACGTGACGCACAGTTCGATGTTAAAATTGTTGTGAAAAGATATCTGAGTAAGTATGCTGAAGCTGAGTGACTTGACTCTTCAATTGCATCTATATATTCCCTATCATCATCTAATAACCCTCGCGCGTAACATGCATCACGATAAGTCAAAAATTGTATGTCATCAACTATTTTCAAATCATCGTGACACGTTGCTCCACGAACAACATTCATAAGGCATCGCATGTAAAATATTTCTCCGGTACCAGGAGGTACATAATTTATTCGCCCGATAGAAAATCCTTTCTTTCTTTCTTTCCACTCCTTTGTTTTTTTATGCCACACGAACTTCTGAGGGAACTCAACATAAGTTAAGTTTTTTGCTTCAGGGAATTTCTTGTTTGCTTTGAACCAAGCCAAAAACATACTCTCCTTCATAGTTTGTTGATCTACAACGTTCTGCAGCGATGAAGTATCTGAGAAATATACATTCTGCTCACCAGGTAAATGCAAGCTTAATCGCTCAACCGCAGGATTTCTATATTGAATCTCAAAACCAAGAATTCTCCATGCTGCTTCACAGGGGGATACATATCTGCAGTCATAGTACATCTTAATCTCATCAACAGGTTGATTAGACTCATTAGAACCTGGATTCTGATAAAATGCAGCAGTCACACGATCGTTCCCTTTGTTGACATACTTAAATAAGTACTTTGTTGAGCGGGATTGATTGCACCACTCCACATTCATATGAGCACCGTATTTAAGCAAAAGATAGCGATTGTGTGGCACTACAAATTGATTGGTCAGCTCAACCTCCCCTTTTGTAATTGTCCTTCCATCATCCCTTCGTCTATAGATAGGGTACCCTTCATCATCAATCGTCGTCTCCTCATTATATTTTTTTGGGAAATGTTTAGTGCAACGACCATTTGACATACACGGAGAATTTGTCCTAGATGGTCCACAAGGTCCGTGCATCATGAAATCAGCTACCGCATAATAATAAACAGGATCCACATTTTTATCTGGAATTTCAGCTGAAATGATACGGTCGATGTCGTTTGCAAATGGAGATGAGTCATCTCTAGCTATGAAGAGCAATATATGAGCGTGTGGCAGACCTCTTTTCTGAAACTCTATGGTGTATATGACTACAAAAGATTCCACAATTCTCATTACTTATGCGTAAATAAGAACTTGAGTTATTACAGGGAAAAGAATTACACATAAAATATATAAGCATTTAGATCATGTAGTATATTACCTGCTTTAACACGACCAAATACTTTATTATCTCGAAGATCTTTGATCAATCCGTCCAACTTTACTTTGAAAATTCGACAAATAATATCAGCTCGGTCTTCTGGTTTGAGTCTCCTTTCTTCAAGAAACCGGCTAATTTCAGATCATTTGGGATTGCAAGTAAACGTTATGAACAAATCTGGATATCCAGCCCAACGACATATTGCCATGGCGTCTTGATAATTTTGGATCATATATCGTGCCCCTCCAGTGAATGAAGAAGGCAATATAACTCGTTTCCCTTGAGCACGTGAGTCTGTTTCTCCTCGCAATATTGCATCCAAAAGACCTTTATACATCTCACATCGAAGTTCTTTTTGATGCGTCCTAACATACCTCAACCTCCCGGCTTCTACCATTGTGTACGCATCCACAACAAATTGTTGATAGAGTCTCTTTGAGAAGAGTATGCTGGAGGATTCTTGATCTCTTTCATGCAAGCGAAATGCAAAATATTCCCTAACACTGACATTAGTTCTTCCATTTGATGTAGGTTTCTTCAAATCAGAGAATGGGATGTCTTCTCGATAACCGTCTTCTCCATGAGGAAATAGAAGAGGATATTGCAAAGGTAGATAAGCCGGATGCAGTTCATTTATACGTTGCAATGATCCAGAGTGTGTTTGTAGCACAATATCTCTGTTACCCAGTGTTTCGTCAAAGTCACCTACTATTAACGCAGCCACTTCGGATGTTGAAGGAAGGTTATACGTTCGAGCATCAGAATCTCTCTTGCCAATGAGTTTCAACCGTATATTTAGCTCTCCATCGGTAACTTTCTGGCCAACCATTCTAAACGACTTAACAAAAGCATTATTTTTGTCCAACATTTCTTTCAAATCGCTAACGATGTCGGTGTGGAGGGTGTTCATATCATCCACATCCCTATTAGATAAGAACCTCATATGTTTAATGCATTTATTCGTAAAAGGGATTTAAAGAGTATTGCATTACAGTACGATTAATGGCATACACTAACCTGACAGATCTTATTCGATTGACCACCTCATTTGCAGTATCGTAGATGTACAATTGTGCAAATTTAGGTACTTCATTCTCCTCAGGCATAAGACTTCCAATCAAATGGTAGTTTTGTCCATGCAATTTGAAAACCGGTGGAGATTTACCTTTGTTGGGCTCAACATCAATCTTTCCTCCCATCGAAGTGAAAGAAAACATACTATTATATGATCGTATGTTTTGTAAAAAGTGTTTACTCTTTTCACTATCACCATATAGTAGATCAAGTAGTACTTGAGGAGGAGTCTTCATCGGCGAGAGCTTAATTGTACCATTAACACAACAGAGAGAATACTTTGGACTTTTAGATTTGTAGTCAGCTCTCAATCTTTCGTCATACCAAAATGTCGCTCCACAATTCCCACACTTGTAAGATGGATCTCCGATATCCCAGTATGAAACAACTACATAAAATATTATTATTTAAAAACTACTTTAATTGAGAACACAGAACTATATTAGTTGTTTTATATTAAAAAAGGTTGGAAAAGAAGCATTTACATACTTTTATTTGTAAGATTAGAGTTTTGCGACAAAAAGATTAGTAAAATAATGTTTGTTTTGTGAATACATAGATATCTAAAATATCAATAAGCGGAGACTTAAAAGAAAATTAATATTGATCACCTTCCGCTGAAGTAGACTGACTGGATACATGTTTCTCCACTCGTGCACGCTTTCTTGTCAAGCGTTCCACATTTACTATACAAATAAAAATCCAGACTACTTTATTTAGGAATAAAGTAAAGACTTTTTTTTATCTGTCTACATTACCATATAAATGTTACAATACAATAATCCATTTTATAAAAGTAATTACAAATCCTAATAAATTTTCTCGTAGAAGATACAATTTATTGACAAATATTAGTATACAGAATGTGTATATGTTTAATTTGTGTTTCTTTGTCATTATTACTTTTATTATAAATAGTGAAAAGTATTTGTTTGGGGTGGGCCAGATCACATGATAATTATTACGAAGCTGTTATGTTCGTCTTATTCTTATTACTTATTGCTTATTCTTATTTTATTCAGATCAGATCAGATCAGATCAGAAAGATTCAGATCAAATCAGATCAGATCAGAATCATCCAGATCAGATCAGAAAGATTTAGATCAGATCAGATCAGATCAGATCAGAAACATTCAGATCAAATCAGATCAGATCAGAATCATCCAGATCAGATCAGGAAGATTTAGATCAGATCAAACGCATTCAGATCAGAAAATTTAAAACATGATTTATCACTTTTACAATTATAAAATAATAATAATAATAATAATAATAACAACAACAACTATAATTATTATTATTATGATTATTAATATTATGATTGTTATTATTATTATTAACAATAATAATAATAACAACAACAACAACTATAATTATTATAATTATTATTATTATTGTTATTATTATTATTATTATTATTATTATTATTATTATTATTATTATTATTATTATTATTATTATTATTATTATTATTATTATTATTATTATTATTATTATTATTATTATTATTATTATTATTATTATTATTATTATTATTATTATTATTATTATTATTATTATTATTATTATTATTATTATTATTATTATTATTATTATTATTATTATTATTATTATTATTATTATTATTATTATTATTATTATTATTATTATTATTATTATTATTATTGTTATTGTTATTATTATTATTGTTATTATTATTATCTTTCAGATCAACTCAGATCAGAAAGATTCAGATCAGATCAAACCAGATCAGAAAGATTCTGATCAGATCAGAAAGATTCAAATCAGATCAGATCAGATCAGATAAAAAAAAGGCAGATCAGATTAGATCAGATCAGAAAAATTCAGTTCACATCAGATCAAAACTTAATTAATTCAGATAAAAAACATTCAGATCAGACGAAGAGAACAGCTTCTAACTTTCCATTTTTTCGCGGACCGTTTTTAAGAGTGTTTGGCCCACACAAGTTTGGCCCAGCTCTTTAAAAAAAACCCTACTCCACCGTCTATATCTACGCTGCCTGTCCGAATCCCTCTTGCTAGAAGTTTCAGCCAGCATCTTCATATCCTTCATCTCACTCTCTCACACCAAGCACCCTTCACCTTCGTGTCCTTCATCCCTCTCACACAATAGCGACGTTCTCTTCCAACAGAAGTCTTGGGGTTCTTCACAGATAATCCGAGGTCCACGAAAGAAGATGGTTTCGGTGCTGTGTCACACCGTAGGTACCTTCTCCCTTCTCCCTTCTCCCAGTCAGATCTGTTTCTTTTTTAAAAATACGCTTGTTGTTTTGGTTTCTTTTCCAACGCTATGTGTCAATCCACTGATTTGTAATAGATATAGTTTAAATAATAAATCCTTATGAACTGCTATATATGTATGTCTATGTCTCGCAGCTAATAGATGGAAACGAAGCTGGGCACCTGCTACGTGAAATCGACCGCTTGGAATGAGATAAGTGTTTTTGTGTTTATATTTTCGGATCTGATTGTACCAAGTTATTAACATATGTTTTACTACATCTGTTTAGATCTGAGGATACAAAATTACTTCAGTTCTTAAAATGCATATGAGGCTTCATCATGAGGGTGTAATTACTCGTTTTTAAAGATTAACAATGCACACTTACATTTTACTTTTCATTCTAATTCAAATTTTTATTATGACCTTTTTCACGATTTATTTAAATGTAATATAAATTTATAGGTTTTGTTTAATATTCTGTGGATATTGTTCAAGTGTTTTTCAAAATCTCCATTTCATTGCTCATTCAGAAAGAATGAGAAGTCCAACCCGAAGTAAACTTCTCTATGCTTGCTGAATTTGTTTTCTTATTGCTTGAATCTAAACCAATCTAAAGTTATACTTAGTTTTCTCATTTTTGGTCCTTGTATATTTTCAGGGCACCAAGAGTAGAAGACAGAGCATTCACAGTAGAGAGACCTCTTTTGAGCTAACTAATTTCTGAAAAACAAAATAGTTGATCCTCTTCATGTATTTTATCTCTTTATTTCTAACAATACAGATTATTGAACTAAGTACTATTTCCTCATTTCAACCAATCTATTTTTACTAATCACATATCCTACACTTACTTGCATTTTTGGAGATACAGCTGTACAGAAATTATCTTTACAGCTACATTTACTCTTTTAACATTTTAAATACAGTTTTATTTTTATATAATCCAAGTATACTTATATGAGTGTATTTTTAATCTAAAGCTAAAGTTGTTTTCGGTATTTTTTTAATATGTTGGAGCAGTCTAACCAAAGATGTTTGCTATGTAGAGAGACCTCTTTTGAGCTAACGAATTTCTGAAAAACATAATAGGTTGATCCTCTTCATGTATTTTATCTCTTTATTTCTAACAATACAGATTATTGAGCTAAGTATTATTTCCTCATTTCAACCAATCTATTTTTACTAATCACATATGCTACACTTGCTTGCATTTTTGGAGATACAGATGTACAGAAATTATCTTTACAGCTACATTTACTCTTTTAAAAAGTTAAATACAGTTTAATTTTTATATAATCCAAGTATACATATATGAGTGTATTTTTAATCTAAAGCTAAAGTTGTTTTCGGTATTTTTTTTATATGTGGGAGCAGTCTAACCAAAGATGTTTGTTATGTAGAGAGACCTATTTTGAGCTAACGAATTTCTGAAAAACATAATAGGTTGATCCTCTTCATGTATTTTATCTCTTTATTTCTAACAATACAGATTATTGAGCTAAGTATTATTTCCTCATTTCAACCAATCTATTTTTACTAATCACATAGTCTACACTTGCTTGCATTTTTTGAGATACAGCTGTACAGAAATTATCTTTACAACTATATTTACTCTTTTAAAAAGTTAAATGCAGCTTTATGTTTATATAATCCAAGTATACTTATATGAGTGTATTTTTAATCTAAAGCTAAAGTTGTTTTTGGTATTTTTTTTTATATGTTGGAGCACTCTAACCAAAGATGTTTGTTATGTTAGTCTAATTCTTTTTTTTGCAAATGTTAGATTCATGTGTAAGTATCTTTTCCAGAATGTATACTTTTTATTATAAAAGCATTTCATGCAAAAGCAATACACTCAACTCTCAGAATATTTACAACATGGTAACATGGAAAGTGCACTAAATACATTAAGAATAGAGATGCGTTTTTTCTAAACTTTTTGTGTATATTTACAGATCTTATTTCTTAATTCATTGTATTGTTATAGATATAGTCTTTATAATAAACCTTGATGAATTGATTTCTTCTATGTCCATTTGTCACAGCTCATACATAAAAAACAAACTGGGTACATGTTCTGAGATATCAGCTGTCTACAATGAGATAAGTTTTTCAAACTTTTTGTGCATCTTTTCTTATATTAGTTTAAGAAAGTACCCCAGTTCATAAAATGTATTTGTGGCTTTTAAAATGAGGGTAATACTAAATAAATCTTTCTAAATGTTCAAGATAAACTTAATCTGAAATTTATCAAGTTTATGTTATTATTATTGTCAGCTTTAAAGAAATACTTGGGTTTTTTCATACAAATCTACCTCAAAGTAAACTGTTTATCTGAATAAATTTCTTCCAAAATGATAAAGATAAGGTGAATCTGAAGTTTATGTTATTATTGATGGCTGTTAAGAAATACTTGGTTTTCTTATCATTGTATCTTATACCCTTTCAGGTTTGGCTACCATGGAAGTAAAAGCACAACAAAGCAGAGTGATCCCTACAATTCCTGAAGCTTTGATTAACAAATTTATAGGTTGATATAAATCCTTTACTTTCATTAACCTGTTTTCTAAAATAACCCAAACTACATTTCTATGTGCTAAATTAATTTCTATTTATGTCCGTATTCGAAGCTCATACATTAACAACAAAATGGTTACATGATCTGCATAATTCACATCAGAAAGATCGCTACAATTACTGAAGCTTTGATTAAAATATTTATAGGTTGATATAAATCCTTTACTTTCACTAACCTATTTTCTAAAATAAGTCAAAGTACACTTCTATATGCTCAAATACATTCTTTTTTATGTCTCTGTCGAAGCTCATACATAAAAAACAAACTGGGTACATGATGTGTAAAATTAACAGCCTTGAATGAGATAAGTTTTCCAAACTTTTTTGTATATATATTAAAAATTATTATGTTCTAATAGGATGGTATAACTTTTACTTCATTCACCTTGATTTATTTGATACCATTAAACTCTTCAAGTATATCTTTATACTACTATGGGCTGCCAAGTAAGACTTAGATTTCTATATTTTGGTACTTATCGTTTTAAACACTGTTTTGAAGTGTTCTATTTGAGCAATTATTCCTTTTATAAAGACACATACATAATTATTTGTATAATGCAACAGTCCAGGCCCGACATAGTGTAAAGATAGAATACGTTATATTTATCAGCACTTTCAACTTTTAACAGAAATAAATTATGTAATATACACCTTTTAGCATGTTCAAGTCTTTCTAAGTCTAAGAATTTTGAAAGTCGTAATAGATAAATACACAATAGTTTTGTAATAGATTGAATGGTACCTGGAGTACTGCTTCCAGAGCGCTTGTTTCCAATGCTCTTCATGGCACTTGAATTTGTCACATGTTCTCGAATTTCAATCTTCTTATTCTTGTTCATTATCTATTGATGCAGATTTGCTTTGTATATAGGCATAAAAACGAATGAATCTTATTATGTTATACAGAAATTAAAGAAATATTTTTAAATTTAAAGTAAGGGTGTACCAGACGGTCTTGCTCTGGGAAGATTGTTTTTGAGATCTATGCATTTAAGATTTGTTTGGTTGAATAGTCAACTTGAGATAACCTTCTTAGAGCACTATTGAAATTCCTAAAAAAGTGCTTCATGTGTCACGTAAATGTCTCCAACCACCAAGACACTATCTTATTAGTAGCAACTGTTTTCTTTTTAAATTACTACGTGCAATGACTTTAAATAAAAAAGAGTCCTGCGTGCAGTTGTCTCACACTTGCAAGTGATTCACTTGCAACTGTTTTCCTTATTATTCTTTGTCATTGGATTAATAAGTAAAATCTCCTACGTACATTTTAAACAACAATCTTATTGACATTGCATTTTGTGAGTACTTTATTTGTATAATTAAACAATTAAATAATGTGTAACTCACCACATTTATTAGCCATCAGTTATTTAATTCTCATATAACATGGAAAGAAAAAGCAATACTATTTTATTTAAGATATATTTTATAAATCATATTGTATTGTGTACCACGTTGTATAAATGCTACTCTTATTAATTAACTACTTGATCACTTAGTATTAGCACCATTTGTATAATAATTTCATTTCTTTTTATTTCACATCGCAGGTGCTCGTCCAGCTTTGAAAAATTTTGTAGCGTATTAAAAATGTAAACTTAGGTTCTGGGGACCCATCTGGGTTGCCTATGTATGTAATAATATGTATGTAATAAATTTAGCATAGGGTTGCAGGTTTGCTGAAGGTTTCAGGTATTTTCTCATCTTTTCTTCAATCTACTTATAACAGCCTTACCACCATTCATTTATGGGTTTAAACTTGCTACTAAAATATATTAGTCGTACATGTTCAAGTTCATCATAACAAATCATCTTGCCAAATTCTAAACTGCCACAATTGGACATAGATTATTAAGAACACTAATACTCAATTTGAAAAAACACTGCATTTCATATATACATTAGTCCAAACATAAAGAACATTGTCTAAGAAAACATTCAGATAAAACAAATTTGGGAAATCCTAGAGGTTTAAGACATTATGTGTTTCTGTGAACACTTAGGCAAACTGGCAAAGCTTTAAAACACTGATAAATAGTAATTTAAATGACATAATTGCAGACATAAGATTGTGTAGGCATGTAGTTCCTTTTTTCAGCATTTCTCGATCTTCACTTGAATAGCCCTTTTGTTTCTCTTAACCATATCCTTGAGTGTTTCTGTATCGATCTCCCCAACTCGCTTCCCACTTGTCATATTGTCATCATTAGCTGCCACAGTCTCATTCACAGTCAGGTCAATAGGCTCTTCATATTTTTCTTTGCACTTCTCGTTCTTCTCCTGAGATGTTGCCTCCAACTCCTATATTTTGTAACAAAGTTAGAAAAAGTGTTTTTTAATTAAAATGCAGGTAAATAAGTTTTTTATAGCACCTTAGCATGTGAAGATTCCCCGGGTTCCAGTGCATTGATCTCTTTTTCAAGTTTAATCTTCTGAACACTAAAAGCAACTTCACCCCTTTTTGTGCTATCGTTTTGCACTTGAGCCAAACAAATCACTTTCTTTTCTATCAAGTTTAATATTTCCAAAGGAAAACCATCCTCCCCTTTCTGTTTAAGAAGTATTCTTAAAATTCCTTATATGAATGTTCAAAATTTCAAATGTAGGTAATAAAAAGTCAAAACTAATATTTCATACCATATCCCCAACAATGGTAGCTGCCTTTTTCCCGAATAGTTCTTGGCAAGCAGTATCCCATAGGATGAATGCAGCGTTTGCTGTTTTGTCCATAATTCTAATCTTCACTTTGTATCTATATTTGTTTATATATATTTGGAGTAATCACTCTTTGTAAGAATAAGGTAGCTGTATTAATAGGCTCAAATATAAAGTTTTAAACAGCAAACCTCATCACTGCATCATGTCTGCTTTTACATGCTGGATTGAGACATTCAAAACGGCCACATCTGGGTGCCACTTTTCTTGCACAATCTCTGCAAGCTAAATACCACCATCCATCTCCGGTTTCAATATCAATAACTTCTCCAGTCACCCAAAAGCGTCCATTCTAAGATATGTTTACAATTGTTATTACTTGTTTGGAATCTATAAAAAAAATCATCGAAAAGAATTTTGAAAAACTACCAAGTTTTCTTGAAACAGTGATTCAATTGTCACAAAATCTCCTTCTCCTGAACCATGTTCCTCTTCTTCTGTTGTCACCACGATAGGTTGACCGTTATAGCCCTCATCTCCATGCAAGTCAAACCTACGGTATGAAGTAAGTTCGTCAGTCTATCATTCCCTGACATCTTAAGATACACTGCACACTATGTAATGCACATTTTATCATAGTAACCTGTCTTTGTAGTCCAAGATCTCTTGATCTGAGCCATTGATAATTAGCCTTGACCCGTTGTAGCTATTGGTCATGTACACATCACCTTTGTATAGTCTTGGGTGAACCATTAGAACCACGACAATCATAAAGTTTGGTGTCTTTTCTACCCCACGCCTTATTGCGTCAACAAAATCTGCCCACAGGGTGCACCTGATAGTTTGTTGGCTGTAGTAGGTTTGTAAAATTTTAAGTCAATAAATTTTAAATCAAGAGGTATTAATTGATATATTGATATATAGAGTAAACAATTTGTAAGTGGATATGTAAAAATAGAAACGCATCTCTTTTTGTGAAACTGGAATGCTACAACATACTTTGGGTCTTCCAAAACCAATTCAACCAATTTTTGTGTTGCTCCATCACGTTCGCGTGGCCTAGGAAAGTGGATAGACCTCACGCTCCCTATGATATCTGTGCACCCAATTGGTGGTTGAATATTAAAAGGCTGTCTAAATGTGACAACATAATAAATGTAAATACAGATAATTATACCAAACATCTCTGTTAAGTCAACTTGGTTTGCGTATTGAAGGTCTAAGAAGGGTTTGAAATTGAACATCATCCTGGGGAATTCAACATTATTGTCAACCAATGTTGTCCTGTGGTTGAAAATGATGTTAAATGCACAATTTGTTGTCCTGTATTTCATGGAATTAGGAGTGACAACAAAATTTCTCAAGATGTAAACGTTTCCTTCTTTTATGCGTTCCTTAAAAGCTCCAAGCCTTTCCCTGCGAATGGTGGCATGAACTCTGTTGCCCTGAATAAGTAAAAAGATATTCAGTTTGCTATAAAATTAAACTGTGAGGTGTCCGAAAATACAAAATTAAAATGCAAAATTACCTCCTGATCATGGAAAACACACTCCATGGTGTTGATCACGTTTTTGTTGGTGTAAACTGGGACTGGATAGAAACGCACCAGTCTGACCCGCAATGCCCAGTTTGTCTTTGATGTGTTGAGTTCCTGAATCCTGTTGAACATTTCAGCCTCTGTTGTCTTCAACTTTCTGCAAGTTAGAAAGTTAGATACCAGAATCAAATTTACTTTTTGTAGTAATTATTCCTAAAATGATGTATATCAGAAAGTGAGTAACATACGTCTGCTTGAGTCTGATGGTTTAATGTTGGGGATGCAGGATATATATAATGCTTGGGTTGGTGAAAACTGCCATGGACATGCCATGATGGTCATGCATGATCGTGCTGTAACTGTACCCCTATTGCCATGTGTTTCGTTCTGAGAAAAGCAAAGAATGTGGGACGTGTTTTTTGTTTTTTAATTTTTATTATTTGATTTTGACACGTGTAACACATCAAAGGTCAGATTTGTTCATGTATGGCCACGGTTCTGCTTTTATATATATATAGACAATATCGATGTTATCATTGTTATTTAACAGTATCAATGCTATTTTTTAATGTGTTTATAATGCTCATCCTTTATACACAAATTGACATTTAGAAATAAATAATTAATTTATTTGATGTAAAAGTTTATAAAGAGTATTTAGCAGAATCAAGATCAAACCTGCCCAAGATACATGTGTACTTGAAGGCTGCAGGCAATTAATGCAGGTAACAACTTCCAATGTTGGAGATTGTGTGGCTCAAGAGAGTATTAATGAGTACTATAATTGATTATTGCAGGTACTTTAAAAACACATTATTTCTTGGGTGATAACTTATATATGTTTACTAAATAAATAAAGTAAAAAATATATACAAAAATAAAATCATTTCAAATAATCGAAAATTATTTTTGGAAATGTGTTCTAAAAAATTTGAAAATAAATTTTACAAAAATTATAACGAGAACACCAACAACTTATTATTAAATATTAATACACAACAAAAGAATTTTAATGAGTAAGTTTTTAAAATTTAATTTGTTTGATGTAAAAGTTTATAAAGAGTATTTAGCAGAATCAAGATCCAAACATGCCCAAGATACCTGTGTACTTGAAGGCTGCGGGCAATTAATGCAGGTAACAACTTCCAATGTTGGAGATTGTGTGGCTCAAGAGAACATTAATGAGTAGTATAATTGATTTAATGCAAGTACTTTAAAAACACATTATTTGTTGGGTGCTAACTTATATATGTTTACTAAATAAATAAAGTAAAAAATATATAAAAAAATAAAATGATTTCAAATAATCGAAAATTATTTTTGGAAATGTGTTCTAAAATATTTGAAAATAAATTTTAAAAAAATTATAACGAGAACACCAACAACTTATTATTAAATATTCATACACAACAAAAGAATTTTAATGCGTAAGTTTTTAAAATTAAATTTGTTTGATGTAAAAGTTTATAAAGAGTATTTAGCAGAATCAAGATCAAAACCTGCCCAAGATATCTCTGTACTTGAAAGCTGCGGGCAATTAATGCATGTAACAACTTCCAATGTTGGAGATTGTGTGGCTCAAGAGAGCATTAATGTGTAGTAATACTAATTTAACCCTTTGTACTTAAAAACACATTTTTTTTGGGCTAACTTATAAATTTTTACTAAATAAATAAAGTACAAAATAAAACGCGAATACAAAAAACCATTAAAAAATATTCATACACAACAAAAGAATGTAATCTGCACGTTTTTAAAAAATGGGTATGTGCTTAAAGGTAATCATGACATATGAATAAAACTGTTTATTAAGTACAATGGTTAGTATGGTTCGAAAGAGTGAAGGGGCAGGCATTTATTGTAAAGCACTTGAGTAGCACTACTCAGAAATATCAATACACCAGAGTGTATTAATTCTAGGATGGAATGTAGGTCTGCTGGAATTAAATGAAGATGTACAGCAAATATTATAAAATTATAAAATATTCTACAAAGGTAAAGTGAGTGGATATATAACTCCCAATGCATTTATTCCATGCTCAGAAGCTCATTTATGAGCTCAACCAAAAATTCTAACAACTGAATCAGTGAGAAGGCTCAAGAATAACTACGACCAGTGCAGTTCAGTGTGAAGAAAAGGTATGTTTCATAACTCATTATTGACAATGCTATATGAAACTATGCAATGAACACCGATACCAAATGTATTTACACCGCTTACAACAATTAAAATGCTTTTATTTGTAAAAAATAATTGTATTTATTTACTTTGCAATTAAAGATGAGAAGCTGTTCATGCAAAAATTGTTCTCGACCAAAATGCCATACATGTGGACACTATCCTGGACGCTCTTGGTTGGAACCATGCTCTTTGTGTAATGGCAATTTAAGTCACTTTTACTGCATGAGGCCAGTAAACAAAAATAGGCGTACTGGCAAATACTTATGCAAAGATTGTCAAGAATGGTTAGATGCAGGCCCAATGATACCTAGAAGATCAGTGCGGACAGTAACATTGAATCAGAAGTACTTCAATGAAAAACTTTGTGTGGGGATGAATTTTGGTTGGCTTAACTAGGGATGACCTTAGTAATGCATTTATATAAATAAAATATGCATATGTTTTTGCTGGATATGTAAAAGGCCAATTGGAATGACCTTAGTAATTCATTTATATGAATGAAATATGCTTATGTTTTTGCTAGATATGTAAAAGGGCAAAACAGATTAGATTTTTGCTAATTGGGTGGATAGTTGTTCATGCCATGTTATATTCCTAAGACTGGTCTGATGTGTCTATGTAATCCATGGTATGCTTTATGAAATCCAATGTTCAATGTTGTATGCATATGCAGTTTTGAAGTTTCAGTGTTTCAGTTGTGCAACAGTTGAAGAATGTTTTAATTTATGCATTTGACAGATGTTTCAGTGTATGTTGTAATGTAAAGTGTATAGAAATGTTTAGATAACCAGTTTGGATTCACATGCATATCATAAGAAATTACTCATAAGTTGAGATGCAGACTATTAAAGATCAATGGTGTTTTGGTGTTTCAACTTATCGGGCCAACGGACTGCCAGACCACGCAGTTCCGAAGGCCACTTTGGTGGCTGGCAGGGCATCTGACAGTCCTATGGGATGGGCCATGAAAACCAGAAATACCAAATTCAACCAGTCTGGAAATTTGTTTATGAAACTGACAATATGAAATAAACTTCTTAGCATAAACAAAAGTATTCCAGTCTTCCAGCAGCTGAATTAACAGCATGTCGTTTTGGTTTAAAAACAATTCTTCGATGAAGAGGATCACCAAAAGCACAATAATCAACCGTAAAAGAAGCATTGAAGACCTGACTAACAAAGGTAGTTCAATGTTTTTAAAATAGTTGTTTTTAATTTGTAATGGAAAATTAGTTAAATATGCATTTACGATTTCAGTGGTGTAATAAGAATAATATAACATAATTTATAATTACATACATTACATATATTACATATAATAATAATGTTTTGATAATATTATTAATAACCCAGCCCAAATAACTCAGCCCAATAAATGAATTATAAAACTAAATCAATCCAACAATGTTTTATTAAGGGCAGGTTCTTCCTAATTACGTCCAACACCCCAGCATATAGAAAATTTTAGTAAAGATGTATTTTTGAAAAGACCATAACACAGAATACAAAACCATTCTTAAAACAATCAGCATTCAGTGGTATGCTATTGAGCAAAGGAGGATAACTCAGGAGCCTCAGGAAAATACCAACTTTGGCTAGAATATGAATCTGTAAAACCAGATTCTATCTATAAGTCCAAAACATCAACCTTTCGTAGATGTAAAACAGACTTTCAAAGGCCAATAACAAAACAGACCGGTTACATTCACGCCAGAAAAAATAGGCTTGGTATATAATCCTTGCAGAATAAAATTAAAATTTTAAATTTTAAATGTTTAAAATATCAATAAGCCGAAGAAGAAAACAGATCTGATTTCCTTTAGAATCACTCAAGGATTAAGCCATTTATGAGACCAATCCAAAACATGAAAAAGTTAGATGTAAGATTCAGGAGTATTTGAGATTAATAGAGTCTGAGATTAGTATGTTTCACTCAGACTGTATTGAATCTTTACAATAAAAATGAGTTTAAATATGAGTGTGATGAATTTAAACAACAAATCTGAGATGAACTATTTCACAGACTGTCAAGGTTGAAATAATCTTACACTCAGGCCTGAATGTTAAAAAAATAGACAACAACTCTGAGATCATAGAGTATCACTCAGGCTTAGTTGATAATCTGAAGAGAACAAAAGTAACGTTTAAGATATGGATATGCCAAAAACGAAAAATAGATCTGAGAAATGTTCAGATCTAAAATAGGTTATCACTCAGCGATTGAAAAAAAATTGGATTCGTCACGAAAAAATCAAGGCAATCAAATAACATGCAAGTGCAAACCAGTAGAAAAAAATCAGACTGAGATCATTGAATATCACTCAACCTTCGTATAAATCAATACGACAAAAAAAAAATGACAGAGGTTTGAGATTTATACCCCAAGAATGTAATCGCAGGCCTGAGTTCCTTTGGTATCCCTCAGCCTTGCTAAAAATTTCATCCTCGGTGAGAATCAACGGGTTGAGCAACGAATGACCACATCAACATTTTACAGATTGTCAAGGTTTAAAAAATGGCTGAGGATGAAAAGTTAACAGGGAAGGAATCAGATCTATAATAGGAGTTAGAGATATTCATTGAATGGTGTCTGTACCGGCTAATTTCTGGGATGAATCGATGATTAACCGATGGATAGAGAAGGGATCCGCTGGCTAAAGTGTCGGACTGGTGGATAATTAGGGTTTGGGAGTTGGGTAGAGGGTATATATAGTGAGTAGGGCGGGCTGGTCGGATTGGGATGGGCTGTTGGGCTGGGGTGTTGGACTTAATTAGGAATTAGGAATAACCTGCCCTTAGTAGAAGATTGTTGGCCTGAGAATTTTTCTAATTTTTTTATTCAGCTGAGTTATTTGGGCTGGGTTACTATTATTATTATCATCATATGATTATTATATGTAATATATGTAATGTATGTAATTATAAATTAAGTTATAATATTCTTTATTATCATATTTCATTTTTGCATATATGAAATAACACAAATATTATAAAGTCTTATGAAATAATATTTCAAAAAGATTCCAACAACAAATATGATAAATTATTATAATATTATTACTAATATTGTTATTGTGATATGCTATAATAATTTTTTTGTCATTTATATATTATAATTAGAATGAATTATATTATACGTTGTTATGTACATAGTACATGATAAATGATACATGATTATAATGAAATCGTTCTGAAAGTTCACATTTAGCAAAGCAAGAGTTTTTTAAATTTTTATGGTATAAAGAAATTTAATTTTTACAATTCTTTTGTTATTAAGGAAGTTTTATTTAATATGGTTTAATGAAAAATATATAAATAATAATGTTTATTAATATATCATGAATTTGAATATGTTGTGTATGTGTTTTATCTTGGGCAGAAAATAGTGACCCAAATCATAGTGCACATGTACCGCAGCGTGCCAAAAAAGGCGGTAAATGTTATTACGCTATTTAATTATTTTATAGCGACTATAGATGATTTTATTAGTTTCAATTTATGGTCCTATGACAATATACGTAATTACGAAATGTAGTTCGTTCTTTGCCATATAATAATGGCTTTCCAAGTGAGGGATCAAGAGTTGTAGATCATATATCCGAATCTTGGGCTGTTCATCATGAGCATCAAGAGGCATCAAGACAGGAAGATGATGTTTTGCCCTACCAAGAGCACGTGGTTGAAGGTCTGGTCATGTTTGTTATCCCAAATGAAACCATATTCTAACTTGCATAAGGTCGCGTTTAAAACAGATTGTTACGATGTCAAAGCTTATGTATTTTAAATTCGTCACAGACCCGATCAATGTGGAATATTGGAGCATAGGTGACCCGTCACACAGTTGTCCGTCTTGCGGGGCATTATTTTGGTATGAAGAAAGAATTGTTAGTACTTCCTCAAAAAAGGACCCGAAGTATTCTTTGTGTTGCAGTCAAGGGAAAATTAAACTACCAAAATTAAAGGAGCCGCCTTTGGAACTACAACAGTTCATTCATGGGACGGATGCACTTGCTAGGCATTTCCAGGAAAACATTCGTTCGTACAACAGCATGTTTTCGTTCACTTCCATGGGAGGAAGGGTAGATAGAACATTGAACAAGGGTGGATCACCACCAATCTTTAAACTGAGTGCACAAAATTATCACCTCATTGGGAGTTTGCTGCCCCAGGAAGGAAGTGTGCCAAAATTTGCACAATTGTATATATATGACACTCAACATGAAGATATTAATCGTTTGAGCTCAGTGAGGTAAATGTATTTACCTTGAAAGTCATAAATATATGTAATCATGCACATATGTTGCCAGGTATGAATATATGGTATTTTTTATGTTATTTGGTTATATCATTTTAGGGATGATGAAAAGAAGAACAATTTGCATGAGCATATTGTGACCACATTAAGGAAAATGTTAGACCAACATAATGTTTTAGTTAAGTCCTTTAGGATGGTCAGGGATAAAGTAGCTGAGGGTGGGGAAAAGAAAGTTTCTCTGAAGTTAATAGGGAGGAGAACCAAGGATGCCAGAACTTATAATTTACCCACAGTTTCTGAGGTCGCAGCGTTGGTGGTGGGTGATTTTGATGAATCACTTGGGCAAAGAGATATCATGGTTGAAACTCAAGGAGGGTATTTGAAAAGAATAAATGAGTTAAATCCTGCGTATTTGGGATTGCAATATCCGCTTTTGTTTCCATATGGTGAGGATGGGTACAGGGAGGATATAGCCTTTTCTGATGAGAAACCGTCAAACACGTGTGGTCGACGGAGTGTGAGTATTAGAGAGTTTCTGGCTTACAAATTGCATGAGCGAGCAACCGAGGACTCTTTCATCTTTAAGAGTAGGAGACTATTCCAACAATTCACCGTTGATGGATACACAATGGTTGAGTCATCAAGGATAATGTATATTAGAACCCATCAAAAAGAACTGCGGTGTGAAATGTACAAAGGCCTGTCAGATGCTTTGCTGAGCGGTGAGAGGGATGCGTCAACACAGGGTAAGCGAGTTGTCCTTCCACCGACATTTGTAGGGGGCGCTCGATACATGGTTCAAAATTATCAGGATGCCATGAGTATATGTCGGTGGACAGGGTACCCAGATTTGTTTTTGACTTTCACGTGTAACCCAAGATGGCCTGAAATTAATAAATTCCTTTCTTCAAGAAATTTGAATCCTGAAGATCGTCCAGATATAATTTGTCGAGTGTTTAAGATGAAGTTGAATGACCTGATCAAATACGTAAGACAAAGTAAGGTATTCGGACAAATTCGAGCAGGTATATCAAATATCACGTGTGTAGCTTTTTATAAATACACAGATATATATGTTTTTTGTGTGTGCAATACAATAATAATTGTTATGTTGACTCCTCGCAGTGATTTACACGATCGAATTCCAAAAGCGTGGGCTACCGCATGCTCATATTCTATTGTTCATGGGGAATGCAGACAAATTCCCGACTCCAGCAGACATTGACCGCATAATTTCAGCTGAAATACCTGATGAGGGGGCTGATCCTGATTATTTTAAAGTTGTATGCACACATATGATGCACGGACCCTGTGGCAGTGATGCAAGGAACGCCCCTTGCATGGTTCAGTCGAAATGTTCAAAGCACTTCCCAAAGAACTTCAACGAGCAAACTAACGTTGATGAAGAGGGTTATCCTAAATATAGGAGGCGGAATGATGGAAGAACAATTGTCAAAGGAAAAACACCACTTGACAATAGATACGTTGTGCCTCACAACAGAACATTATTGATGAGGTACGGTGCTCATCTTAATGTGGAATGGTGCAATCAATCGAGGTCAATAAAATATTTGTTCAAATACGTGAACAAAGGAAATGATCGTGTCACGGCAGGATTTTATGAAACAACAGATAAAGATGACACTGAGAAACCTGTTGATGAAATAAAAATGTACTATGATTGTCGGTATATTTCTCCATGTGAGGCAATGTGGAGAATTTTTGGATTCGGAATTCAGTATAAGAATCCAAGTGTTGAACGTTTGAGCTTTCACTTCCGCAATGAGCAGTATGTTTATTTTGAAGATGGTGCAACAGTAAGTGAAGTTGTGTTGCGAGAATCTGTTAAGGAGAGTATGTTTCTTGCATGGATGAGAGCAAATGCCGAGTACCCCGAGGAAAGGGATTTAACTTATGCTGAATTCCCTCAAAAGTTTGTCTGGAAAGCCAAAACAAGAGAATGGCAACCTCGGAAGCAGGGGTTTGCAATAGGCCGTCTAATGTATGTGCCTCCTGGATCAGGAGAAGCTTATTATTTGCGATGTGTCCTTAATTTGAGGCGTGGGGCTACAAGCTATGATGATCTTAGAACTGTGGATGGAATTATTCATAATACATACCGTGATGTGTGTTTCGCGTTAGGGTTGTTGGACGATGACAAGGAGTACGTTGAAGGATTCTCGGAAGGTAGTTATTGGGCTACTGCATGGTTACTCAGAAAGTTGTTTGTCATTTTATTAGCATCTGATACAATGAGTAGACCAGAATATGTGTGGGAAAAATGTTGGACATTTATGTCAGATGACATTCTACACAGGCAAAGAAGAGCCTTAATGCATCCAGGTACTAAACAGTTCATATATTACACATACATATATCTTTGCAAACAAACATGTATATATATCTGTGTATTCATATTCAAAACCATACATAATATATTACACATGCTATTTGATATTACTGTTTTGATGCATGTAATATCAGATTTGAAGTTGACTGAGGCTGAGATTAAGAATTATGCATTGACTGAAATAGAAATGATGTTAAGGAGAATTGGTAGGACTTTAAAGGACTATCCATCCATGCCATTTCCAACGATAAGTGATGCAACCATGTATCAGAACAGGCTTATTTTTGACGAGTTACAGTACGATCGTGCTGCCTTGCGTGAAGAGCACGACAGATGCATGCAAAGTCTCAATGATGAACAACGTCGAGTGTACACAACCATTATGCAATCTGTTGAAGAAAATAATGGTGGGGTGTTCTTTGTATATGGTTATGGAGGTACAGGGAAAACATTTGTGTGGAAGACGCTGTCAGCTGCTTTGAGGTCCAAAGGAGAAATTGTTTTAAATGTTGCTTCGAGCGGCATAGCAGCTTTGTTGTTACCGGGTGGTAGGACGGCGCATTCACGCTTTGCAATACCAATCAACCCGAATGAAAACTCCACATGCAACATCAAACAAGGTAGTCCACTAGCTCAATTGATAATTTGATGCAAGCTGATCATATGGGATGAGGCGCCGATGATGCATAAGTATTGCTTCGAAGCCTTAGATAGAAGTTTGCGGGACATCTTGAGATTTACTAATTCAAATAGTGCCGAAAAACCCTTTGGAGGGAAAACAGTGGTCTTCGGGGGAGACTTCAGACAAATTTTACCTGTCGTTACTAAAGGTACTAGACAAGACATTGTGAATGCCACGATTAATTCTTCGTATATTTGGCATGAGTGCTTGGTATTACGTTTGACACAAAATATGAGGTTGCAATCATTGAC